ACACACTAGATTTTTACCGGGTCTGGGGGCTGAAACTTCCCGAAATCACAAAAGAGTTCCCCTACCGGGTCTGTATACTTCGTGACTTTGTTCCCGGTTACCGGGTCTGTATACACTTCGTTGTTCTTTTCTTCAAATTGTAATTCCTCCCAACTCCAAAACGGAGGAAAAACGATCGTTCATCGAAAAGACATCCGCAATCTTCATTTAGATCTAGGCTAGCCGTGAAACTAGATCAAAGATTTAAGTCTGCCTGTCTAGACCATAGATCTAGAAGAACCTAGGTCTACCCTGAGCCAAGAGGGCGCTGAAACTCTCCGAAATCACAAAAGAGTTCCTTTACCGGGTCTGTATACTTTGTGACTTTGTTTCCGGTTACCGGGTCTGTATACACTCCCAAAGAACAATGTCATAATTTCTCTCGAGCAGTCATCCTCTCTATTTCTCTCTCGCTCTGTTGCTTGCATTCTCTTTTTCTTTGTTTGTCTCTGTCTTTCTTTCTCCCCACCTATTTCCCACTAGACGTCTATATCTTTCTCTCGTTCCCTCCTGCCAACTGGGGCATGTCATACATTTTGCTAGCTCTCTCTCTCACACACACACACAAACACTACCGGGTCTGGGCGCTGAAACTTTCCGAAATCACAAAAGAGTTCCCTTACCGGGTCTGTATACTTCGTGACTTTGTTCCCGGTTACGTATACACTTCGTTTAAAAAACTCTTGGATGAATTTTTAGATTTGACTGCTGAATGTGCGATTAAGCATGGAAATGAGAATTTTCAAAAGGATGTATGAGGAAGGTTCTGATGTGCGAGAGGATGAATGTTATTGCCTGGAAAGAAAAATACCATGTATTTGTTTCCACGACACCAATGCAAACATAACCACCACTTACCACACCCCCTACAAGTCAAGCATCATGTTCATTGAGGTCAGATTCCTCTCTAATAATGTAGCAAGGTAAGATTGAAGAATACCGGACCAGCGGACTGACTTTGCCTATGTCTCAACCTTAGGAATTCATAATGTTCCCGTTTTTAATATCTCTCAGCGGAGAATCTCGGACCGGTAGATCTATTCGTTGAAATTTTGTCAGGGGGGAGACCCCCCTGAACCCCCCCCCACCTTCTCGCGCAATAATGTACCAGTGGTCCGGTATTCTTCAATTTCCCTAGTCCCATGTAGCAATGTTTTATATCCTCAGGTTTGGGGGAAAAGTAGGCCGCCTCTATTTTTCCAAACGCTCGGGAAAATAAACTTGAACTCTTTCTCCGAACAGTTTCCAACTTTCAGTCTCTAAGTCTAAGTGGGTCAATTTGTTCTATAATTTCATTGGACGAACATCTACAGCTACCAACTTGGCATGTTTTGAATGAGTGACAAGCCCACACAATAATGTTTAAATGTACGAAGTGTATACAGACCCGGTAACCGGGAATGAAGTCACGAAGTATACAGACCCGGTAGAGGAACTCTTTTGCGATTTCGGAAAGTTTCAGCGCCCAGACCCGGTAGTGTGTGTGTGTGTGTGTGTGTGTGAGAGAGAGAGAGAGAGAGAGAGAGAGAGAGAGAGAGAGAGAGAGAGAGAGATATGCTAGCAAAATGTATATATATGACATGCCCCAGTTGGCAGGAGGGAACGAGAGAAAGATAGCGAGTGGGAAATAGGTGAGGAGAAAGAAAGACAGAGACAAACAAAGACAAAGAGAAAGCGAGCGATACACAGAGACAGAGGAGAGACAGAAAGAGAGAGAGAGAGAGTTACTGCTCAATTGAAATTATGACATTGTTCTTGTCTTCAAATTGTGATTCCTCCAACTTCAAAACGGAGGAAAAACGATCGTTCATCGAAAAGACATCCGCAATTTTCATTTAGATTCTAGATCTAGATCTAGATCTAGGCTAGCCTCGAAACTAGATCAAAGATTTATGTCTGTCTGTCTAGACCTAGGCCATAGATCTAGAACTAGAAGAACCCAGGTCTACCCTGAGCCAAGAGGGCGCTGAAACTTTCCGAAATCACAAAAGAGTTCCCCTACCGGGTCTGTATACTTTGTGACTTGGTTCCCGGTTACCGGGTCTGTATACACTCCCCTTTATCCCTTAAATGTAAGCTCCAAGCAGACTGACACACACACACTACTTGTGCTGTGTGAAAGCAGATCCGACACGGGACCCGAATTGAACGGGAGATGGTGCTCGGCCAACGTGCACTGAGCCAGGGTCCAGACTGATGCAGGACCAGACTGCAGGCGGGGTGCTGAAATAGGCTTATAATCGGGCGACATAAACCCAGCCTCTGCAGGACGAGGGCTAGATCTCTAGATCTACTCTCTTACTCTAGATCTAGATTCTAGAACCAGTGGCCACCCCGGAACCCATATCAGCAGACTCCACTGAAGCCTGTAGGTCTTCTAATCTAGATCTAGATTTTAGATCTAGTTGTAGTGCAAGTAGATCTAGGCCCTGCTCAACCTTTCAACTACACTACACACAACAGATAGGACTATTCGATAGAATCTAGATATTAGACAAAACCAAAACAGAGGTGAAATTTTGCATCCTACTAAATCTACCTACCGGCATCAGTTGGAAGTAGTTATTTCCAAAGGTTTATTAACGATCTATCTAGTCTTAAAACAGACCATAAATCAAACAATTACAGTGCAACTGTATGCTGGTCCATATTTACTGGCACTATTGAGGAGATGTTTCACTGTTGGCAACAATTTTCAACGGATTGTACAATAAGATGCAATTCGCGGTGGTTTGCGTTCATTCCTACCAGACGCCAACCGTCAAAGAACGATAACCGATAGCCTAATTCCGGTCCGGTAGGCTAAAATAACAACAACTGGTCATCAAGTTTAGCCTCTCTTCACATCCGGTAGGCCAATCGTTCAGTTCAACAACCCAAGATCCTATCAAAAGAAATTAGATACCTGTAGGCTTTTAAAAATCACAAAGAGAGAATGGAAGTGGATTCTAGACATCACTTTCACACACGAAAACAAACATCACCCACCACTACAAAGATCGTAAAATAGCCTGGGTTATAGGATCTTTGCCCTGGCCTAGGCCAACTTGGCATCAATCTGCCCAGAACAGTCTGGAGAGTGGAGGTGGAGAGTAGGCCTACCGGAAGTACAAAGCTGAAAGTAGAAAATCCGTCGTTCAGGTCTCAGGATAGATCTAACAGCAACAAGACAAACTAACAACAACAGGCTAGATCAAGCCTAGTTTATTTTGTTCCTGAGATTGACTTGTTAGTATTTAGTCATTCCAAGTGTTTCGAACTCTTTTCTGGGCACTACTTGGATATGGTGGCCCCGACTTTGGTGACAGTTAGATCTATAATCTAGATCTAGATATAGATCTATATATATATAAGAAGTCTATATTATCTAGAACTAGATCTAAATATAGATCTAGATCTATATTCTAGATCTAATCTAGTTTTGACCCCCGAAGTGACTATTCGGACTCGAGTCCGAAATTAAAAAAGGCCACCTCTATTCTCACCCGGAGTGAGAATAGTGCAGGCGAGTCTTGTGGCTATTCTCACCCGGTGCGCGTTCACCAAATTTTGCGTTCAACTTAAACCACAGAATTCTACACTGTGATAACAGAAAAATTGTAGAATTCTGTGCCGTGAACAAACGTTCCATTACAACTGTAGCCTACTAAAAGCGTACAATTTTGTCTGTGGGCAGTGGAGAGAAAGAGAGAGAGGAGTAGCGCGAGAATTTCCGGGCAAAACAAAATGGCGACCCGCGTAGTTCGACTCGATTCGAAAAGTTAAATAGCCATAGCATCTTTGTAGACAACCAAATTAATTTACTTTTGTGTTTTAACATCATTTTTTAACTTTGTTTTGGTCAATTTGATCGTCCACACCGATAGACAGTATTCAGAAAGAGACAGAGAGAGAGAGAAGAGGGGAGGAGTTGATCTTGCGAGAACTTCCGGGCGGGTGAGAATAGCCACTTTCTTAAAAAATGTTATTCGGACTCTGATTCTTGTCCAGCATGACATCACTTCCGACTTCCGACTGTCTGCGACTCGTGACTCCGGCTTCCTGTCCTGCCTCACTCGTGACTCGCCTCAGGCTGGGTAGAGACCGGGATCACTTCGGGCAAAATGGCGTTTTGTGCAGGAGCCGAGTTTTTATCTTATGATGAATTTGAGGCCGGCCTGAAAAGTTATGGCGCTTCTAATACATGTTTATTTGTCAAGAGGTCATCAGAAGCAATTAAAGATGGCTCGTTAGTGTGTGTCGGGGTCGGATGGGCGGCCTGCACACGTGTGGCTGTGTGCATGTCGGGGAGGGGGATGGGGGGGCACTATCGGTCCGGGCGTTGAACGTCGCTTATGCGTCAGTCTTTTTTCCCCCCGCAACTGATCATTATTACAATAAAAAGCTAGTCTTGATGTAGATCTACGTAATGAATTGGGCGCTGGTTTATGGAATCAAAAGTCGCTGCATGCTCAGCTCTACACAGGTTCACAACTTTTTCTTGGTAAACAGTCGAGATGACACAGGCTTGTGTATTTGAACAAATCGGTCTTTTTTTTTTACACAGCTCATAATATGCAGGTGCCAGGTGGTCTGCTAATCTTCAATTTTACCTTTTTCTACAACAAAGAAAGTGGAAAACATGGGGGGTGGGGGGGGCCTTATCAATGCGGCGGCGGGCATCGGATCGGCAGAAAAGGTGTGGGGGAAACTAAAAAATGGCGGAAAATGGGAAGCACTGAACGTTAGATCTATAGAACGAAGACACTTCCTTTTTTTTCCGGACCCGAGTCCGAATAACATTTTTTCATATTCGGACTCGAGTCCGAATAAGAATTTTTAAAATTCAGACTCGAGTCCGAATATGAAAAAATGTTATTCGGACTTGAGTCTTAATAACGACGGCCTTTGACCCCAGCCCAACGCCAACGCCAATTGCTTATTCTTATAATAATACTTCTGGTTCTAAGTCTAAACGATTACTTTTTGATTCGCCTGCCGATATGGTGAGATAGATCTAGCCTTTCATACCACATGCGATTAAACGTAGAAAGACGCTAACTATTTTTAGGTACGCGCCCATCTTGTTTGACGTCAGACCAGGATTCCCCTCCGATCACGTGACTAGACTACATCTAAGTATAGCAATATAGCCAACCGCATGGCACCAAAGATGGAAGTGTACTAAAATTGCTGTAAAGACGCTGGAGGATTAGGTAAGATTGAAGAATACCGGACCAGCGGACTGACTTTGCCTATGTCTCAAACTTAGGAATTCATAATTTTCCCATTTTTAATATAATCTCTCAATGGAGAATTTCGGACTGGTAGATCTATAATTCGTTAAAATTTTGTCAGGGGGGAGACCCCCCTGAACCACCCCTCCCCCCTCCTCCACCCCAACCACCTGCCCCACCGACCTCACTTTCTCTCGCAATAATGTATGAGTGGTCTGGTATTCTTCAATCTTCCCGAGGATTAGATCTATATTCTTAAATGATCTAGATCTAAAAACAAACTTCAAATCAGCTCTACAAATTATAATTTATGGGACTGTTAGTCAGTTGGGAGGAGGAAAAGAGATAAACAAAATAGCCGGGGACCGGAATCGAACCGCTCCTAAAATCATTGCATGACTTCTAACGCCGACGCGCTGTCTATTCGGCCATCAGAATTTCCGAAAGCATGATGTAGATGAAGCGTTATAACATAGACACTTCCATCTTTGGTGCCATGCGGTTGGCTATAACTTAGATGTAGTCACGTGATCGGAGGGGTATCCTGGTGTGATATCAAACAAAATGGGCGCCGTACCTAAAAATAGTTTGCGTCTTTCTACGTTTAATCGCATGTTTTCAAACGTAATTGCAAAACATCAAATCGTGGTCAAATTCTGGGGGGCATTCCCCTGAAACTCCCCATGTTTTGTTTTGGTTTTTTTAGTCAGGGGGGCTACCCTCCTTGCCTCGTGAAAAACAAGTGAATTTTACTGCTCATTTTGTAGGCTAGATTTAGATCTAGGCTACTGATATAAAACATAAAATATTGATATGGACTATTTAAATCAGTATCGATATTTCAGTAGGCCTACACAAAAGCCGGGACCACCATATCCAAGTTGGGACCACCATATATATATCCAAGTAGTGCCCTTTTCTGAATGCACATTACACTAAAAAGGATTTGATTTGTAGATCTACGTAATTTTTCATTTTCTTCTAGATATCTAGATTCTAGATCTAGACTAGATCTACGTCTAGATCTAGATTATAGATCTGCACCTTTTATTTATTCTCATTTTTTGCTGGATCGCAATTGCCGATAGATCTAGATCTAGATATCTAGAAATAGAAAGGCCTCCTCCTTGTAAAATCATAAGGGCAGAAGGTAGAGCTGAAGTTTGCTCGATTAATCGAAGGCTTGCAAGCAGCGGACGGCTTGTGCTAGAGGCTTGCGAGCTCTGAGCAGGGTTGTGCTTTGCTTTGCCTCCCGCTTTACTACCGGGGGTAACTTCCGGTGAGTTGTGACTCGTGGACAGTCTTGCTGTACACATGCCGTTAAATGTAGAATGATGCATCTTCCTGGTTGGCTGCTATATTTAGTAATGTGATGTCATCACTTCCTGGGATACCGACAGACTATTTTTATCCGAAGTGGAGTTGCCAAAGATTCTCTACTACAATACACACTACACGTTCGTTAAAGTCCACGATCCATTTGTTTACATTTTGAGAAGAAATCCCGAAGTCTTGATGACCAAATAGGCAACACAAAGAACAGAGATGTAACCCAACTGCAAAACATCAAATTAAGGTAAAATTCAGGGGGGCATGCTCACTGAACCCCCCCTCCTCCCTTCCATAATTTTATTAGGTCAGGGGGGCGACCCCCCCCCCTGGAACTTGACTTTAACGAACGAAACTACAAAATCGCCCACGATCTTTGACTTGGAACGACATGTTGAGTCAGTAGCTTGACCTTTTATCCATATCGATGTGTTTCGCGCGGTAAAATTTCCCACTTGCAGCTAACTGCAGCGCGTCCGCCATGCTCTGGTGATAGAAGATCGCTTAGATCGTTGATGCTCAGTAGTGCTGTGCGATTTTGAGGAAACAAAAAATCATCGAAGCGTGAGCTCACTTTTCATGACATCGAATACTTCCGCCGAATGTTTTTTTCTTATATATGATAAGCATAAACCCAGACCTAAGTTCCTTTATTCTACTTTCGCTAGCTATTCACAGCACCGTCGAATGTTTTTTTTCTTACATGTGATAAGCCCAGACCTAACTTCCGCAATTCAAAGCCCCGTCGATTTGTATTTTCTTATGTGATAGGCCCAGGTCTAACTTCCGCTACTCACAACGCTGTCGAATGGTTTTTTTCTTATAAGATAAGCCCTGATCTAGCTTCCGCAATTCGAAGTGCTGTTGAATGTTTTTTTCTTATATTTATACGATAAGCCCAGATGTAACTTCCGCAATTTGAAGCGCCGTCGAATCGTATTTTCTTATATGTGATAAGCCCAGATCTAAATTCCACTACTCACAGCGCAGTCAAATGATTTTTTCTATAAGATATAAGCCCAGATCTGACTTCTGATATTCACAGCACTGTCAAATGTTTTTTTCTTCGAAGTGGCTATATCCCCGTACGCGTGGCTATGCGTACCGCGTTCCCGTACTCATAGCATCGAGGTTATGTGTACAGCCCTCCACTTCACATAAAATTAAACTAGGCTTTGTAGGCGGCACATAAACTATGTTTTTTTCTTATATTGTGAGAGTCCGCCAGTCACTGAGTGCGCGTGTGTTGTTGTCGCTGACTGCAATGTGTTGATATCACGTCACCGTTCATAGCGCTTCGAATTCCAAGTAGGGTTAGGGGAGCTCTTTGCGACAGCTAACTTCATGGAAAAAACATTCGCTTCAAGAGTGATGTGCCCTTGCTTGAGCTGTCCATAGTGTGGCGAGTGAATATTGAATAGAAAGAGATATTCTCTAAAGGATTGTTTTATAATTCTTGTAAGCTCATCTTATCACTCTGTCTTGTAACCATCAAATAAAGAGTATTTCTGTATATTTATCTCAATGATTTTAGATATAATGTGCTCCAATTTTTCTACGTTTGAGAAAAGTAAGGCGAAAATCCAGTATCTGTTAGAAAAAAAAATCACATGGCATTTGAATGGCTCTGCCACGCTGTGAATAGTGCAAAAATCATGAATGTGAAATAGTAAAGTCGAATTGGAACAGCTGTAATACTCAGAACAGTAAGAACGCTGATGCTTGAAATTGAAACACGGTAAGTGAATGCAAAGACAATAAAGCGCGCTAAAATTGTGGTAAATACGCCTGGAGATTACCTCTCCCTCCCGGGCCAGATAAACAATGCGCAGAAGAGATCAAAGCAGCTGCCATATCGGAGCACAGAAGAGATAAGTAGCTGCCATATCGGAGCACTGTATCATATCACATTACCTGTACGTCTCCTGGAAAAGCATCGCTCCAAACGTCATGCCAAGGTAGGTAAACACGATCTCTGGTGCTATGCGGTTGACTATGTTTACATGTAGTCACATGATTGGAGGGGTATCCTGGTCTGACGTCAAACAAGATGGCCGCCTTACCTAAAAATAGTTTGCGTCGTTCTACATTTAATCGCATGTTTGCTGTACTCTCAGCCCAGGTTGGCACTGACATTGGGTTGAAGTAGGCCTAGCCCGTCTCCTAAATGTTCTGTATTATGTCACTGTGGGTGTAAAACATTTACAAAATAGGTTACATACATGATACAATACAAAAGCCAATCGCAACGACCCCTGGAGTTTTCCATTCTAAGGTAATCTATGTCTACTTATTACTACCAGAAACCTAGGTTACTACGACACCGCACTTCCTCTCACTCAGCTGATCAACGGCAGGAAGTTAAAAATAGCTTCGGCTCTCAACGTCTTGCACCAAAACAAGCACAGCCTCTCCCTTCCGCCATGGTTCGGAGTTCACACTGCGAGCAGTCTTAGAGACGGCTCGCTGCTGCAGCGAATCAGCCAAGTGGCTTGCCAGGTTGCGAGCTGGTCCTGGGAGCCAAAGCAAATCATGGGAGCTGAGAGACTTGCCGGGCTGCGAGCAAGTCACTTTGCACAAAGCAAGACAATAGGATGCAAAGCAAATAATGGGACTTGCTGTGCTGCGAGCGAGATTTGAGACTTATGCTTGTCCGCTGCTCGCGAGCCTTCGATTAATAGAGCAGACTCCAGCGCTACGCCGTGCAGTGACACTGTGAGCGAGATCTCTCTCTCTCTTCCCCTTTCTCTTTTTCTGACGTTTGTGGCTTCGCAGATTGCACGCATGGTGGGGAGGATGAGGGGGTCTGACACGAGTGGCTTCGCGGATTGCTAGTTGGTGTAGACTTGAAGCCTAGACTAGACTCAACTTATTATGCTGGTGATTTGATTTGATGATTTGACCTAGTGATGTGAGGCTTGTGACTTAAACTAGGGGCTTGCGAGCACAAGGGGGTTTGCTACCGGGGTACAGCTCTAGCAGAAGGGGATTTCAGGATTTGGTAAATCTAGACTCTACTTAAGAATGTGGGCCCGGCCTGTTTAGACTTATCATCATCTACACAGAGTACTGGATATTGATACTGATTGAACTATTCTGTATATAATATTCTAGATATCTAGCTCTGTTTTATCAGTGGGAGTGTATACAGACCCGGTAACCAGGAACAAAGTCTTGAAGTATACAGACCCGGTAGGGGGAATCTTTTGTGATTTCGGAAAGTTTCAGGGTAGCCTACTCTTGGCTCAGGGTAGATCTAGTTCTAGGTTCTTCTGGAGCTATGATAGTCTATGGCCTAGGTCTAGATCAAGACAGATAGACAAAAATCATCATAGATCTAGTTTCGAGGCCTAGGTTCTTGATCAAGATCTAAATGAAGAATGCGGATGTCTTTTCGATGGATGAACGATCGTTTTTTCTCCGTTTCGGAGTTGGAGAAATCTATAGGACAATTTGAAAAAGATAACAATGTCCTAATTTCAATCGAGCAGTCACCCCCTCTATTTCTCTGTCTCTCCCCATCTCTCTCTCCACTCTTTTTCTGCCCCCCCCCCTTCTCTCTCTGTCTCTCCCCCTCTCTCTCTCTCTCTCTCTCTCTCTCTCTCTCTCTCTCTCTCTCTCTCTCTCTCTCTCTCTCTCTCACACACACACACACATGCACACACACATACATACACACACGCACACGCACACGCACTCTACCGGGTCTTGGCTCTGAATCTTTCCGAAATCACAAAAGATTTCCCCACCGGGTCTGTATACTTTATGACTTTGTTCCCAGTTACCAGGTCTGTATTCACTTCGTTTATCAGTAGCTTACAAAATGAGCAGTAAAATTTCACTTATATTTAATACAAGCGGATAGTTAGAGAACGTTAAGCGTACGCCATTGACCTATATTTATAGTAACAGGCATCTTGTTGGACCTATTCTTTAACATAATATAATGAGCATTTTTTTATCACAACACTTTGCTAAAATGAAAAAAAAAGTTTCTTTTTTTTTCTCCAGTAGGTCTGGAACTTCTTTTGTCTTTTGTCAGAATGAAGAACACTGACACAAACAAGATGACTGTTACTATAAAAATCACTCGTGACGTACTCCTAACGTTCTCTAACTATCCGCTTGTGAATTTAACAAACAAGGCAAGGGGGGTTTCATGGGGACCTAAAATAAAAACATGGAGGGGTGGGGGGGTTAAAGACCAGTCATACCGGTGCTGTCAAGACATCACAGTCATCTTGTCACACCCCAAATCCACAAGGTTGAATGGAGACGGTCATTTCGTTGCACGCTTGCAAACATGAAAGACGTATTGTCATGAGTCATGGCTATTGCAAATCACAATTTTTAGGGGAGGGTTGGGTGAAAACTACATGGTAAAAATTATTATTTTATTTCACCCCAGCGCACAATACGCTGCTTCCTGGGAGCGAAATGGCTGTCTTTTTTTACCGCAAAACATGCATATGATGGTCACACTAACAGGGACTAATCAACTGTTTTAAAGAAAACTTCAAACTGAAAAACATCAAAGCATTTACCTAATTTTATAGAAGGAAATACAGGGGCATGCCCTACTCATTAACATCATCTTCAAACCATCTTTGTGCTACCAAGCTAAAAAAATATGGACAATGACAAGAGTCACTAAAGTAAATTAAATACCCATGAAATGAGATGCCTAAGACTTGTGTATACCATCTTTAAAGTAGGTTTGGTGGACATTGTTTTCCATTTTCAACCTTACTCTAATCCTAACTGAAACCTTACCCTTTTTACCCAGATCCAGCAAGAGTGAACAAAATGCAAATGACCAATGAATTGGAGCTGAGGAATAGCCATGAGCTGGTGGAGCACACAAAAATTAATTATGTAGCCTACCTCTTTTCGGTTTTACAATGATTTTGCTGAGATTTTGATGCAACTTCTGAAGTTGGCGGCCACTGGCTTTTAAATCTTTTACTGGTCAGGCCAGTGGGCAGTATAGTATTATTATAAGATGAATTTTTTGGAAATTTCACATGATGTCATGCTTGACCCTTTTCCGAATTCAACAGTTACGTGATATTTAGACTTGGCAGTGTCTAGTATCATTCTTTTTTAGGAAGTTAATTGTTCAAAGTAGTAACTTACAGTCAGTCTCTTACTTTTACTGATGTTCTCCTGGAGAAAAACCGACTAAAGTGTACAGATTTTGCTTCTGCTATTGACATCTCTTTTGACATGATTCATAGTTTTTGTTGTGGATTAAGCCTGATATTAATCCTGTCTTCTTTTTTTTTTTTAGGATAATAACAGACAAAGGATTTTCAAGCTGGAATAATGGCGCACAAGCGTGACAAAGGAGCAGTGCATGATGCTGATTCCCAAGCGGCAATTTCACTCAAATATCGTAATTACATTGAAGAAATGGAATTACGGATTCGCTACATGAAGAATGACATTGAATTCAAGAAAACGCAAATGAAGAGTCTACCACCTTCATTAGAACACAAAAGTTCTACTAATGTTGGGGATGTGACAAATCTGATTCCTCACAAAACTTCATCATCAAGCTGTAGTGATCCTTATCACAGTTTATCAAGTCTTGCTGATAGAAAATCTCAACATAAGACATCAGGGAAGCAATGTGTACAGAATAGGAAGTGGACAAGACCCTCTGTTCTCACAAATGATCACCAGACCGGGCACAGCAATAACCTTATAGTTTCAAGACACAATCATCCGAGAACTGTCTCCGCACCTACTCCAGTCCCATCTCCGACAGTTGTGCAGAGGACTTTGTGTTTGAATTCAGCAAAAGTAAGGAATGGACCTGTACCTGCTGTGACATCAAAAACTTTGTTTCAAAATAGGGAAACAATGGATGTTAAAGCAACAAAAGATGCAGTTCTAAGAAGTACGCCATACTCATCCATTCTACCCAAAAGTAGTGAAAATACACGCACAGTTCTTTCTGTGAAAAGCCGCAGGACTCAGAACCCCACAAATATGGGATCTACTTCTTTGTCTTCAGATGTAAGAACAGTTCTATTACCTTTTCAGAGTTCAGCATCTGTTCCATGCTGTTCTACAAACTCAGTTCCATTGTTCACTGCATCACTAAAAAGTGTAACCCAGAGCAGAACATACAATAAAGGTTCTAGTGTCAGTGTTCCTATGTCTGAACAGGGGGTAGGGACAGCCAAAGTTTCCGAGTCACCAGCACATAACCATAAGCCACAGATATTGACATCTCAATACAAATTTGTCAAGACACATTTATCCCCTCCAAATATTGTACAGGTTTCTTGTGGACCATCTACTTTTTCTGTTCCCTCCACGTCTCAGAATCAATCTTTTGTAGTCAGTACTCGTGATGACTCCGATGATAAAAAACTTACAGCTATTCAAAACCAAAGCAAAATTGTGCAAAGTGGTTATAAAGATGTGTCTGCAGTTTTATGTGATACTCCTAATCAAAAGCATTCCAGGGGAAATAAAAGGCTGATTAGAAAAACTCCTCACCTCAAATTGCAAACTGCTGCTAAAGTAGTCAGTAAGTATAAATTGAAGCGATTGTCTCCTACGGCAGGACTGAAATCTGCACCTGAACTATTTCCTGCCCACAAAGTAAATAGAGCCTTGCTGAAACTGGATAGAAGATGTGAGCAGCAAGAGCGTTCTGTGACTTGTAATGTCAGTCCACACAAACTTGACAGGCGTCCAAATAAAGTGATAGGAAATCAGCATAAATTGGGTGAAAGGTTCAGGACCGACAGTGGTATAGTTCACTTCAGCAATTTTTATGTTGATGAGAATCTCAAGAATAGGAATATAGTCACTACTGAAAAGCAAGGTACATTTTATAGCTCTAAAAGCCAGAAGTTCAGTACTGATAACAAACGTCACTTTGATAAGAAATTTGAAATAGGAAAGCCCATCCATAATAATCCTCACAAGTTGGACCGAAGAAACCAGCGAGAAGCTATTGTGAGTTCCGGGTCACAGGGTCTGACTTTGACTCCAAAACGAAACTGTGGACACCTTCGAACTAAATCAGCGGTCAACAAGTCACCTTTCTCTACCAAGGTCAAGAAGGAGGTTTTGAAGCGTAGACAACAAACCAACAAGTTTGTTTGGAGGCGTTTGACAAAAGCAGAGAATTGTGCAACATGTGAGTTTAAATATTTTAGTTTGATTTTGTTCATGTTTACTACTCCATCCTTGTGCAGTCTAATTTTTCACATGCTTTATTCATATGTAAGATAAGATAATACATGTACTGTATTATCCCAGAGGGAAGTATTTCTTGGCTGTACAGGACCGTAAAAACACATGCAGGTATACCTAAACATTTAATTTATATTATATTACTTTCTTTAAAATTCAATATGAAAAGAGAAGTAAAGCTGACAAAAATGTACATTTCACATTAGATGCATCATTCAACCACATGCAGGAATTTAATTACAAGACATTTGGAGCTATATTATATAGATCAAGATACATACTCTTAAGAGCAATACACCTCTATGCTTATTCTGACAACTTCTTTTATGTCTTTCTTGCTTTGTTTTTAGAGGTACTTATCTGCCGCTGCGTGATCTGACAATGTGTGTGGAAAGGGGGTGTGATGGGTCGTTTATAATGCTTTTTATCTTTTTTATACTTGTGGTGTTATACATTTCATCAATTCTAGTAAAATAATTTCCAGAGATCTTGCTGGCTTTCATAACGGTTCTGTCGAATATTTCTTTATCTTTCACCCTACATTTCCCAGCCCAGCAGCAAATAAAAAATAATAGCACGCTTCCAATCATAGAATGGTATAAAAAGGACATAGTCTTATTATCGACACAGAAACTTTTAAATTTCCTTAAAAGGAACATTCTTTGATTTTCTTTTTTTATGCACAAGAGCAACGTGGGGATGCCAGTCAAGTTTGTTATCAATTGTTATACCAAGATACTTGTAAGATCTTAAGAGCCTACCACCTCCACCTCCTCATCTTTAATAAATAGTGGTTGCAAGTGGTCTTTTTTTACTCTAAAGTCTATTATTAATTCCGTCTTTTTTACATTTAGTAAAAGGAAGTGGTTATCACACCAATTTGTAAAAAATACATTTACAGTGTCCCTGTATTCATTCTGATTTGTTGCATTGTAGAGTGAAATCATCCGCAAATTTTATTAATTTGATGTTTTTGTTATCAAAAGTACAGTCATTGGTGTAAAGCGTAAACGAGACAGGGGAGATTACACTACCCTGGAGCGCACCGGTGTTCGTGAATATTAGGGCGGATTTTACACCATTTAATTTTACATATGGAGGTTGGTTGGTTGGTAAAGAACTCAAGAATCCAAGCTATAATGTTCTTGTTTATGTTCATGTTAATTAATTTTAAAACTGTTATGTGGGTTTGGATTGTGTTGAAAGCGGATGAAAAACCGGCAAAAAGTATCCAGCAGTAATTTGTTAGTCGGTCTATGTGTTTGTAGATGTTATCTAAGAACATGAGAATGGCATCCTCTACGCCCCACTTGGCACGATAGGCATCTATATATATTGCATGTTATCCTGTATGTCTTCTATTGATTTCCTCAGTTCTTTCAGAACCGGTTTTTCTAAACATTCCATAAGGACCGATGTTAAAGCCACTGGTCTTAGGTCATTCAAATTTTGCATTGATTGTTTGTATGGGACAGAAATTATTTCAGAGCATTTCCACGAGAGTGGTACAATAGAACATGACTACAGCGGGACCTTACTGGAATCTCCCTTTTTCTCTGTATGTAAACTCAATTACATGTGCTCGGGTTTACTGGGGCGAGGAAAGGCCCGAACTCGGATACAGCAGGAGAGATCGAGCGAGCTCTAGCAGGGGGAAAGGGGGTTGGGGGCTGTAGACCGACTCCAAACAGGCAGTCCACGGTACGGCATTGTGAATGGCAAGTCCAGTGAGGAGTGAGGTGGGGCAGGCGGCAGAGAGAGCTGGTGTGGAGAGACGTGTTATGTGAGCCACTCCAAAAGTGATGTGCCGTAGCTTAGAGGTTCAGTATGAAAGCGTATAGGCCATAGTCCTAGGGTTATGCTAGGCCAAAAAGTAAAAGAAGAGGAGAGTGTGTAGTGTGTGATTCCTGATTCATTGAACTGCGATCGTTGATGCTCATAGGCATACGTACACATCCACTTCACCAGTTCTACTGTTGCTCTTCCGGTACGATAGACAGCACAAGCAATGAGACCGAGGAGAACATGGCATCCAACAAAGACAAAAGGAAATGCTTCTCACTTGAATTAAAGGCCGTGATAATCAACCAAGTTGACAATTCCTATGCCCCCTCCACTGGGCTCCTGACTCTTTCTGCAGCCTTGCTACTGCTACTCTTTGGCTCCTTCTTACTGCAGTCTTTCTTCCACACCCCTGGTAGGAAAGATCTAAACCTAACCTTCTCGGACAAGGGCGAAAAATCTCGGAGGTCCCGTGTGCAATTTGCGCACGTTAAATTAAAAAGATCCCTTGGTGGTCCAAAACGATAAGAGTAGGCTTCGGCTGCCACCTTGGCAAAATTCAAAATTTCCTACCCATTGAAAATGTTTTGTGTGTCCCGTGCGCTCATATGACCTTATGCAGTTGCAAGCACCGTAAAACACTAACCCCCCCCCGAAAAAAAGAAAAAAAGTTGATAAAAAAAGGAAGACTAACCGAAAGCGCAAATTTTATTGATATTGAAGGGAGGTGATCATGTGTATTTTTAGAAATTTTTAGGTAATTTCCCCTTTGCATTCCTATGGCAGGAGCACGCTTACAACGGGATTTTTCTTCTGGTACCGAATGTCCCGCTATAGCCGTGTTCTACTGTACTATTCGTTCTTTCAAAGACATTGAAAATGTCAGTATAAATGGAAGATTATTTCACTTTTCACTCCATCGGGTCCACTCGCTTTGTGAGCTTTCAGACGATTAAACATGATCTTGACCTCATTAACATTAAGCACAAAAATTTCCTTGCTCTTGTCATAGTCTTCGTCTATGTTGTTGTCGTCTGTGTGGTCACTTTGAATCGTCTCTTTGACAGTTGTCAGCTGGTCGGAGAAGTCGTGGTTGTCAAAAGGAGCGTAAAAAAAAAAAGTCAATTACGTATAAAGAAAAATGTGGAAGTAAATAGAATACGTGTAGGAAATTAGTCAAACTTGTCCAAGATGACCACCTGTTGTTGAGGGGAAAAGTTTTCTGCTTAGACAGATGGCCTCTTAGATAGAGTGTCATTAAAAAAATGTATGGTGGAAATGGTCAGTTCTACTGGTGATTGTCTTGGACGGATGGTCGTTGGAGCAGGCAACTATTTATTTCATCCTATTTTTGTTTGTTTTGGTAACATCTCACACTGAAATATATAAAGGCTGCAATAGTTCCCCAGAATAAAATGTATTTTTAAAATAATGAAACATCTTTGCCATTTAAAGACAAATTAAGTTCTCTCTAGGAAAACATTTTCAAGCTGTGTCTCCTTCCTGTGATCAATATTTGTTTACTGTTTGCTTTCATGGGCAATATTACATGAACATATATTTTTATGCGCGGGTTATAAAACTTTGATGTAGTTTGCAGATCAGAATGCTTCTGTTTCTTTAGTTTGCATCACAGCGATGTTATGGCATAAAAATCTAACAGAAAAAGATAGACATTGTCGACTGAATGTATAATTGTGAATTCTCTAACGTTCATTTCCTTTAGCATCATCCGGTCTTATGCCTTCAAAGTTTTCGTGGTTCAGGCCAGGGTCAAGAAGAAATATGACTTCTCCTGTACTTCGTAGACAGCAAGATCTAAAGCTGGCCCAATGGAAGAGATTTCAAAGGTATGAGATATGTTTTGTGGGACATTTTGTTGTGGTTGCTTATCCAAGCATTTGCATAATTTTTCATTACCATCTTGTGAAATGTACTGCAAGAGACTACATTCACACCACTCCTCAGGTGTGGGTAAACTTCATTTTTTAATGTGATTACATGGCTATGGGAAGTCAACACTTGTGGTTTCAAATGTGCTGGGAAGCATATAGTCACCAGGACCAGGGCTGTGTTAACTCAGATGATTGATTCATAAGCACCTCATGTGGCTCATAAACATTAAACTGTTGAAAGACTTTTCTGATAATTCTGAAATAGTTTTGAGGAATTGAAAGTTTTCTGTTTTACTTATGCATTCACTCACTTGGGATCACTTACAACTTCATGCCCCTTCTATCTTGTTAGCATTTCTATCAGTTTACTTTTTTTTATCAGCATTGTTTTTTTGCCCTCATTTTCTTTTTTCTGTAAAGGGTTCCCTGTATTATTAACCCTATCCGTACGCCCTGGAGTCACTTTGTACCCCAGGGGTTGTATTCTTCACATTTTAGAATACTTCTAGGGCGAAGATCTCTCTGAAACTTTCAGTATTTCTCAAAAAATCATTTTGACGGACTGCTATGCAAAGCGTACGGATCGGATTAATGAGTAAATTTCCTCTTTGGAAAGTGGTGGCACAGAGTTCCCCACGTCGTAAGGATACGATAGTAAAACAGGATGTACGGATAGGGTTAAAGTGTCTTACAATCTACCTATGTATCTTTTAATTTTCAGAACATCTGTTTTACGAAACCATCATCAGACTGGAAAACCTGAAACTGGAAAGTTTCGCCTATGCATGATTGATGGTCAATTGTACAAAGCGTCCAACTCTAAGCTGACGAAAGCTAAAGAAAATTCTTCGAGCATCTTGCCAGCTCAGGGCAAAATGAAGGCAACAAACTTTCCATCACAGGCAAAAAAAAAATCTCCCATCATCAAAAGTAAGTGCAGTAAAAGTTGTGTGAGGAGATTGCTTTTTGTTCATATATATGAATCGTGATCAATTCAGGCACATACCGTACTAACTGATGGGCAGTAATAAGTAGTTTGTGAGATAATGACCGCTCTTGATTACTAGATTAATGCTCAAATTTATGCGTTTTAGGTTGAAGATTTGATACTGCCCCCTTGACTTTTATTCTTTGCTGGTTGGTTTGGGTATTTTGGGGGTTATTTAGGAATCCAATGACAATAATGCAAATAAAAGGCCCACCATCAACATTTAAGGTGGAGCAAATATCTGACTACTATCAGTCAAGATAGTGAATGTATCGAATTTTTAGGTGTTTTTTATTGTCTTATCTTTTTCTCTGTCTTGGCTGAGGCTTGATGAAAGGGGCAAGGTTTGTATTACGAAGGCTGTACGGATGTCAAATTTTTCAGGAAATTAAAATGACTTTTCTTCATATCATATGGCTGATCAAGCTGATGATATCCTGGTTGAGGTGGTCACCGTGACAGGTTTTATTGTTGCTGGAAAAGGGTCTTGAAAGTCATATAATGAGGCAACAATAGCTCTGGGTCATAGTAAAAAAGAAATCTTCCCCACAGTGTGACAACTTTTCTATTAAATGTTGTATAGCTAAACGTATTCTGCTGGGGTACAGTTCTAGTTCTTAGCAGAATTTTGTAGATCATTTTTGACTGGCCCCCACCAGACACAGAAGTCTTCCAACAGAAGAATATTGAAACTCTGTGTGTGTGTGTAACATTCAACTTTCCCAACGAAGATCAATAAAGTGTTGTTTATTAATTTTACATCATTGTTGTTATTATGGTTATTGATTCATGTTGTAATATTTTTCTGACTGTTCTTGGTAATTTTTAGGCTATTATTGTGTTGACCCACCCTAAGCTACAAGTGAACTTTAGTTGCACCTTTGCAATTTCTCTCAGATTTGCGTCAACGAAAGCTGAAGCTGATCTCCGTGCGAGGAATTCTTTTCCAGGTGGATGCAGCTTGCAAGCGGTTGTGCCGAACTAACACAAGTAAGATTTTCCCGAATGAACATGGTGTTAGTGTCAGATATAACTGGTGCTCCTTCGTTACTAAAATTTAAATGAAGAGCTTTCGAGCATACCGAGGTCAGAGTATTAGTAATGGTTTGTACCGTATAATGCCCACTTAATATTTTTTCAGTTGTTAGAAGTGTTAAATATTCAAGATTCATGGTCTAAAGTACTGTCGAACCTGTGTACGACGGAATCGCAAGGGAGCCAGAAAAGAGAAACAGATTCCATCTTAGACAGGGGAATTTAGAGGGAGATGGGAAGAGGGGGGGGTCAAAGGCCCGCCGGTGGGATCAAGGAACGCTTGTCCGATTGGCAAGCAGTGGTCAAAACTTCTCACCTCTCTATTGCTATCCTGTCTGATAATGACGTCCATCAGTCTTACTTATCCAATTACCACCAGTGCTTGCCTTTCATAGGACCACTCTTTGACCTATTAAAAACAGAAACGTTTGAACACCACCTTTGCTTCCACCCTTAATCCCACCCACCGGTGTAACAAACACAGTCAACCAGTGCCACCCCTCACTGCCATCATGTAACAGCGATTCGAGGAACTCTTTTCTTGGCTGGCTGTACAATCATGGCGGCAGGCATTGGTCAATCTAATTTCACACCTCTGGCTTCTGGCTACCCAGGAAAGTTTCCGTAGTGGTTGCTACTCGAGCACTCTCATGGGCAGTCATGAATATTTCACACCTACTCTACCCTGACCACCTGCATCCCTCAGGGCTCGAATGATGGGGCAACATCTACCCCCAAATTGCACCCCATCTCCCCTTCCTCGCCCAGCAGCATGGCCATGTCATTTACATTTAGAGCCGGCGGAACCAAACTTGCGAGTTTTGTTTCAAATCAGGCTGAGCGAGCAAAGCATTTTCCGTATAAGACAGGTGGAACCCTTGGAAGGGAGCGAATTTTTCTCTCCGTTTCTGCGTTCGACAGGTTTCTGTTTTGTACAGGTAATTAGAGAGGAATATATCAAGGGGGGGAGATTCCGTTAAGACAGGTTTACGTTTTATACAGGTTCCTGTTAAGGCAGGTTAGACTGTACTTGCATAACAAAGTGCTTTTTAAAATAATATTAATTTTAAAAGAATAATCCAGTATGTAAGGGAATTCAAACTGCTATCCTGTGGGAAAAGGTTTTTCTTGTTGCTACTGGGGGTGGGGGTGGGGGGTGGATGGTAATCTTGAAGTGAAAACGGACGCGAGTCATTTTTGGTTATTATTGTTCAAGTGCGCTAGGCCCATTTTTTTGTTTAAGGTGGTGAACAATTGAAACCTTTTTCTTTCTTTTGAAGGTGTATAGGCTCTTTTAGAGCTGTTTTGCTGGTTTTAAGACTGATATCCTTAATGTTGTGCAATGCTTTTACTCGTCTGATAGGCTCCACGTCCCCCTCTGGTAGTAAGACGAAACTCGGTGGCACAAGCAAGTCTGTAGTGGAAATTCAAGGAGTTCAGTATGTCAAGGCGAGGCCTCAGGCATTAGGAAAAGTCATCAATGATAAGACACGGTTGGCTGCAAGGTATTGTCAGTTCTTCTTTTGACACAACACCATATTTTTAAAATAGGATTTGGGCGTGTACTGTTTTGTGTTTTTAAATTTTGGAAAATGGGAAATGGAATTTATTGTTTAAGAAGAATTGCATAGCTACTGCTAGTTTTTTACTTTATTTCAATATTTTGAAAATTTGATGAAAGAATGTTGTGAATTTTCAGTCACCTGGATCATTTTTGTATACATCTGAATTATTCTTTTTCTCAAACTCAGGGAAGACTTGATGTTCATATTGGGGCAAGATTTTTACTTTTCTGTGTGTGCCGTACCTTGTTTTCGCTTCAAACTGAATGTTGCTGATAAGTCATTTTTTTGTTCAGAATACATCTTATATTGTTGAATGTAATTGTAACCTGTTATGTGCACTCAGCTGAATTTTTTTTTGTGGACTACGCTCTGCTTCCATGTCTTTTTTATACATTGTGTATCTTTAGGACTAAGCTTGATTATGTACTGCTTTTCAAGAGATTTTTTCTAAGAAGTCATGAACTTTCACAGTGCAATGACTTGAAATCACATTTTCTTTCCATGTTCAGGCAGTTGTTGGCAAGTGAGTGATATTTTATGTCTTTTCTTTTGATACACTAATGATACAAAACCAAAAGTAGGGAAAGTACCTTCTCCATTTGGGGGCTCTCGTGGCCTAGAGGTTAAGGTGTTTGCCTCTCTTTCAAAGGTCCCGGGTTTGAATCCGGGTAGCAACTGAAAAATATTCTTCTCTAAAATTGTCTCCTTTCACCTTCTTTCCTTCTCTCGTGCAATATTCTGTCGTCTGCTTTCGTCTCCACTTTCTTCCCCCACCCCCCTCACCTCCTTTGTCCCCTCTACTGGGCTCCTGACTCTTTCTGCAGCTTTTCTACTGCTACTCCTTGGCGCCTTCTTACCGCTGTCTTTCAGCTACACCCCTTTTCTTCTGGTAAGAATGATCTACGCCTAACCTTCTCGGACAAGGACGGAAAATCTCGGAGGTCCCTAGTGCAAGTTGGGCACTTTAAAGATCCCTTGGTCGATAAGAGTAGGCTTCAGCCACCACCCGCGCCAAATTCAAAATTTCCTAACAATTGGAAATGTCTGGTGTGTCCTGCGCGCTCATATGACCTTATGCGGTTGCGAGCGCCGTAAAACACTTACCCAAAAAAATATATACCTTCTTTTAAAGAGGTTAAAGGAGTAAAGATTTCTGTCCATTTGCACTTAGCATTTGTGCTGTCATTACATTATGGATCATTGCCTTCCAAGGTGCCAAATAAGAATTTTAGTTGGTGCCACTAGATCTTTTGCTGCACTAAAAATGATGACATTGATGTATTAGTATGAGTGTCCACTCTCACATTTTTGTTACAGTTGTCCAGTTACCATTTTGAATATTGAGAATATTGAGACCATGGTTACTAGCTTCATATGCTCTGATGCAAGGACATCTAATATGTATTGATATCCCCTGGTGTATGAATTGGTTATTAAGTGATATGGGCAAAAGTGGAGATTGTTTAGCAGTCATTTATTTGCATTGGTGAGATGTATGCATTTGTTCTTTCTTTGCTTTGTTACAGTCGTGCTGTATACAGGAGCCTTGCTATAGCTGCTGCAAAATACAAGAAAGATAACCGTAAACATAAGATCAAGAAGAAGTATTGCATCTTCTTTGGTCGATTTGGAAAATGTCACAGAGGGAACAAGTGCCCATTTATCCATGATGTTGACAAAGTGGCTTTATGCACAAGGTAATTATGATATGTGGTCTATTAGACTTTGTTTAAGAAATGCCTATCTTGTCTCGGATAAAACATTGCAATATATGCTACACATAAGGTCCTATTAGTCACATTACAACATTTCATTTTACTTTGAATTGTTGCCCCTTATTTACTGAAGTAAATTTATATTTTGGCAGCCTTTTGTTTCTTGCAGTATGATCCTTTCACATTTTCGGGGGGGGTTTAACTGTTGGTTTCCGTTTTCATGACTGTTGTTGGCAAATAAGCTTTTTAGCTTTTGAATAAACTGAACAAGCAAAACACTGATATCTCCCAACAAAAATTCACTCACTGTTCTGACTTGGGGTTAATGTTTTCTGTTACTGGTGTACAGACATATCTGACTTGTGGAAAAGAACTACTGAAAAAGCTGCTATGTTTGTGCAATAATCTTGTCAAGTCACAGAGGCTGGGTAGTGGGATGTATTCAAAGACAAGACTGTTAGGCGCTGCATAAGGCTGTAGAGTGTGTGAACTGTGTTTGTGTTTGTATACATGTGTGTCTTGTTGAATCTGAAGGTATGGATCTGGAAGTGTCGGGAATTTGCTAGTGATTTAATTTCCAACCATTTACTGTCAGTGTTACTTCCCTTGATTTTCTTCAACATCTTTGTAATTTTTCGTTTTATCGGTTGACATTATGAATGTGTCGAACACATTGTTTGAGTTATCGGTGCCCAACTGTGTATTTATGTTTTTCAAAATCAAATTGCCTTTGTCTAAAACCAGTGCTATTCTTTTTTCCCTCCAGATTTCTGAGGGGTAAATGTGACGTGTTGAACTGTCCTTTCTCCCACCAAGCTTCAGCGCAAAAGATGCCTGTATGTCTGTTCTACCTTCGTGGGTCATGTGTGCGAGCAGATTGCCCATACCTTCATGTCAATGTGAACCCCGAGGCTCCGGTCTGTAAAGACTTTCTCAATGGGTTTTGTGCAGCAGGGGAGAAGGTAAAGATAACTGATCATTTTTTTCCTTTTTAAAAGCATTATCTAAATTAGCAACTATTTGCTACTGGCCTCATCATTTGCACTTGTAACTTGTAATGAGTCATTATTGTCAGGTAGGATCTCTTGAAAACAAAAAGTGCACTTAGTCTTTTTAACATTCTGAGTAATGGGTAGCTCATAACACTAACACCAGCATACAAAACTGTTAGTGCTCTGGTTTAGCCTGTTGGTTCCTTCTACTTTGTTTAACGTCACTATTGTCCAAATCTGTTGTACAGTAAAATGTGACATTTGTGGACAAAATTTGTAGGCACGTGTCCTTTTGTGAGTGTTTTTCTTTACCTGTATGTAGGAGGAGTCCACACTTTTAAAAGGTGTTTGGAGGGAACCATTGATAAAGTATACTTCTTTACTACAGTATAACATGGATAGGTTGAATTCATTGGCGCCGATCTTGGTAGTTCGAGGGATCCGTAGTTCAAAGGATACCTGAACAGTGTTATGGCATCGGCTGTGTCAGAGAATCAAGGGAAACAACAAAGATTGCTACTTACAGGGAAAAACAATAGATCGTGTGATGCACAACCTTTCCTCTCACCTGCTCCAGACAAGCCTAGCTAGACCTTGGGCCTAGGCATGCGTGTCGAGCAGCACACTAAAAATAGCACAGGCGCTGCTTCTGTGGAGGGGGGAAGGTGGTATTTTACGACCTTGCCTTTTTCCATATCTTTTCATATTATTCCTATTATCTTGTCTCAAGTGCACCTCAAAGGACATTGACTTTAGACCTCTACAGCGGTGCAATTAGTTTGACTATTCTGTGTTTGTGTTTGAGATTTTTGCGTAATTTTCTTACAAAGATAAAAAAGGAAAAAAAACAGGACTTCAGGCACAGCTCGACGGATGCAGGATTTCGAATCTTCTGTGTTCGACCTATCCGTGTTATACTGTTTTACTCTTTTCTTTTTAGCTCCATGACTGTTATCAGAATGATGTGCATCTCCTTGACTTTAAAAAAAAAATGAAGCAGTACAAACCACATTATGTTCAATGTGATGCAAGAGTTATTTGTTGAAACAAATTGTGGCTCATTCTGTTTATTTGAATATTGCAGTGCAAAGACCTGCACTCGTACGTGTGCCCATCATTTGCTGCCACAGGGACTTGCCATCGTGGGGAGAATTGTCCTATGTTTCATAGACGAAGCAAGAACCTGGAAGCTGTTACTAGTTCACAAAAAACACTGTAGGTAGCAGTTTGCCAGAAGTCGAACTACAGGGGTACTCTTAAATAAGTGTCCCTTACTATCAAAGAAATATGTGTATGGACCATTTACAGGAAAAATATATAATATTCTACAGTATGCACTTTGTAGGTGGGTTTCATTCATTTGAAGTGTGATTGCTGAATTGTTTTCATTCCAAGTTCCACTTATATGAAAAATTTTGTTTTGGCTTTTTGGTATAAATGATATATAACAACAGATCTGCATAGCTTTGGGACTTTTAGAACAAGTCAAATACCGTGATCTCTGCCAAGGGATTGCATTTTTGGGAGACAAAACAAGGACTTGGATTTTAAGGAGATTTCAAGGGGCATATCTTGTTTAATCATAGTTGAAATATAACCCATTTGTGAACCCAAGTTTTGAAAAAATGACAGTGTGCCTGGTGAAGAAAGGTACCAAAAGAAGCATTTAAAAAAAACGAGATATCAGGCTTCAAAGGTCAAAAATATAATTTTTGACAAAAACCGAGTTCCATTAAAAATGGATTCTTTAGCCATTAAGGGAATATGCTACTGATATTTCTATCTTGAAATGAGGACCTTTCATAGTTGGCTTAACATTGAAATTACACATTTGGGTGGGATAGAGATTGAGAAAAAAGATTCAAAACTCACATTTATTACAGTTCTGAGCGGACAGAGGCAAATAATGGTCGCAAGATGACGAAAATTCATGAATTGAGAAGTTTATAGCTCAATTAATTGTACACCAATCTTCTTCTAATTTTCTAAGAATATAAAACAAACTAAGATCTAAATTCATGGACCACAGATTTTCAATTAAAGCTATTTCAAAGATTTTACGGCTTCTAGGCTTTAGTGTACCCACAGTAATGACAATTTAAGGGGGTAGGGTTGTTAAAAAACCTTTTTCTTAAAAAGTACTTTACAAATCACATTTTCCTGTTGTAGGAATGTGCACAACATCATAATAGACCTGTGTACGAAGTTTCATCCTAATTTAGTTCTCAAATAATTGAGTAATACGAATTTCTGTGGAAAAAAATTGGAAAATGAGAAAATCACTAAAAATGACCAAAAAGTCATATTCACTCAAAATTTCTCGATATTTTGTTCCCACGCAGTCAAGCGTGGTATCGATTCCGGAAATGCAAAAAGTGGAAAATGAGCTAAACAGCCATTCCAAACACCTTGGGGAAGGATGCAATGTGTTGTTTGAATTATGACGTTACTTGGTTCGGCTTATGAGTTGTTTTTCAACAAAACTCTCGAGGAAAGACCTATACCTACATATTTCAGGGGCAATTTATGTCAGGAAAAGAACTTTTTTTTTGTATAACTGATCATATGACGACGTGTAGAAATGGTTGTTCAATCGAAATTCATCAAAATTGAATACTTTGTGAAAATCCGATTTTTTTCTCGAATTCCAGGCCGCATATTCCCTTAATATATCGATATTTACAAGGATTTGAGTTTGTTTTAATTTAAAATACATTTTTTAAGATGTTTTTTGACACGAGGTGTAAACACTGCGGATGGTTTCTCTTGTCAATACATAAAGTCAACTCAATCGCAATGCATACCCAAATTTAGGTCATTCTCTCCCCTCTCTAATGGCGGGTAGTGAGCATGAATATCTAGAACATGTAAACAAAGCGAAGCTTTTGCGTTTCAACATCCTTTTGTTTCGTTGTATCGCCTATTTCTGCCCTGCGCAAACCTAGGTCTATTTTTTGAAAATTTTTGTTAAAGGTCTTGGTGAACTTGTTTCGAAGATGTAATATAAACACTTTAAAGCTGTTCTTTTGTCTTAGCTGCTTTTTAAAGTTTGTTTGTGAGTAGCAAATGTGTTGTCATGTCATCTTGAAGCATAGATCTATCTTTTTGAAGCAGATACAAAGGGAAAGCTTAAAAGCTGTTTTTCTCAAAACTTTGTTTCTTTTACCCTGCCTGACAAAATCCCCCATATTTAAAAAATACTGAAGATATCTTAAATACATTAAAAAAGCGTATTGTTTGGAAATGATGTTTGTACATGATGAAGATGAAAAAATAACAGGATTCTTCACCAGGCACACAAATATAGAAAGCAAGTTGTTTTTTCTTTACCAGAACAAATAGAATGTCTTATAATAAAAAAAAACCCCTTCAGTGACTGTACTGCTTCAGTGAGCTGATGTTAGACTTAGATGTGCATACAGTGCATGGATTTTGACATTAGTCCAGGCCACCACCACCCCATCGACCCTGTTTCCTTCTCTTTCACTTAAGAAATCAGCGAATATGGTACACGTGATGCATCTCTTCTTCTGGGCTTGTCTATCACAATGATCATGGGGCTGTTGTGCTCGAAAGTGGATAGTGCCCATGTGAAACAAAAAGAATAGGCTTGGTGTGAGAGTGTCTTCATTGTGGCACAATTTTGCCTTTTCCTGCTCTTACCCACACTTCTCCCAATATTTCTTTAATTTGAAAATTTTATTTTCATCTACCAACACCAGGTTTTAGGGTGGACTAGTTTTGTAGGCATGTTAATTATGAAGAGAAAAATTATGTAATGTGGTAAAAGGAGGCTCTTTGGAGAACCATTTTTTTTTTTTACAACACTCTTAGATGGAGACAATGACTTTTACAAATTCAGTTTCAAAATTACATCTGTAGTGTAAGTAGTGTTGTGCAAAAGTCCATAAAAGCATAAATATTCCATAGCTTGTTCACTTTCGTCTGACTGAAAAAAAATAATTCTAGCTCATTTATTGATTTGTCGGCACTCCCATTGACCAAACCAAAATAGATTTTGAAAAAATCTTGATCCACTAATAAAAAAATGTCTTTATTTGGGCCCTATTTTACTAACTGCCCTTTGGGTGTATACACAGGGTCACTACATTTAATGCATTACTTACTATAACCTAGCTTACACATTGCTCATTTTGAGACAGCGACACCACCCTGCCGCCACAGTTTAGTGTAAGCTTATAAAGATTCCCTTTTAAGACCATCAAGACATCTCCACATCTCGAAAAGTAGGCCTACTCATACATCTGTTGGACTGGGTTCATAAGCATGGGTTATGTATTGATGACAATCCTCAAATACATAAACTTTTTGATGTTTTTGATGCATGCCTGTTATTTTATTTACCTGCTTCAGACAAAATCAGAGACAATATGTCGTAACCTTAGTTTGCAATGACCAAATTAATGGGCTTTCCGATTCTGTCATCTAACTTTTAGACCTGCATGGGGAGATCTGAGAAACGACGGTTTGTTTCTATCTTGGTTTAACTGCGGACAGATAAGTAAATAAACTAAAGGGGCCAGCAGAATTTTCATTCCTCCCAGCAGAGGATAACTTTTCAGTTATTTTAATTATAGGATGCTGAGGATGTATGTTTTGAAGAAGGGTCTTTTAAAACACCCTAATGTCTCTTGATTATTCCATTTCCAGAGCGAAAGTTTTGAGAAAAGAGAAGGGAGCTAAGAGGATGCGACGCAGCTTGTCAGAGTCCAATGTGATGAAACTGGAAGAAACATCGTCTTCACATCGAAACGTTGTGTCACCATCACGATCTTCATGTCAAGATGATGGGTCATCTTTGCTTTCCGTACACCAAGACAATGCATCTTCATCACTATCTTCACTTCGAGACAATACATCATCACCACTACTATTTTCACATCGAGACAATATTTTGTCATTGGATATTGTGGCTCAACCTTCATTCATTTCTTTAGGGTCATCACCAGCCATAGAGGAAGTAAGTCACCTTAGACCCCAGCGTACACCATCTAATAGTGTCAAGGCTCCCTTGACTAAGAAGCCGAAGATAACCCCGTGTTTTGTGAGGGAGGATCCAAGTTCATCTCTTATACCTGCTGAGGTTACGGAAATGAGTCGTTCAATGGATCAAGAAGCAAAAATGGTTGTTGATAAAAGTCTTCTCCCAGTATCTGATCCAAAGGCACAGAGTGAAAAAGCGGGAAGGGAATTGAACACTTAGTTTATGCATCAGTTTGTAGATTTTTCAGTCGCTAAATTTTTTGCATGTTTGAGATACAGTTGTCTCCACATTTTCTGAAACCTTAGGCTCCAACTTGGTCTTATGAATATATAGAGGTCTGTGATATTAAATGTTGTTAAGATGGGATACATAATGCCACGCGCCAGTGTTCTGTGTTCAGGTTTCTACTTCCAGGAGAGGTGTGGTAGGGGTCATTTTCAGGTCTTCTCTTTGTGCCTCTGCAAAACTATTGTACTGTTCTTTTGTCTATCTTGATTAGGTTTCACTGGATAATTGAGTTTGTAAAGCTGAACTTGGTCATATGACTAGTTTGGTCTCTCTCTGTGGATGTGGTGGTGCTGATGCAAATGACAGAGGTGTTGGCATGGCGAGGAGGAAGATGCAGCAGTCTTGGGGGTCATTAGTCATAGCTCAAATGAATAAGTATAATATGTAGGCCTATGTGTTCATGCTTGCTGTTTTCAGCTCTACACAAGTGTTCTATTTAAAAAAATGTAATCCCTCTATAAATCATATAACTCTTGGCTTTTTGTTGTTAGTGGAGTAGAGGGCTTATGTATAAAGTATCGGTTAGTTGTTGAAAAAAAATTGACATTTACTTTTGATCAAGGTTGAGTCTAAATGAGGTATCACACCATTTTATTTGACCTAATTTGTGGTTAAAGAGGTGAGAACTCAAATGTGTGAGTGCGCTGAATAAAAAATAGCAGGATGTCACTGCCATCACTTTTCTCATTGAAATATCAAAATCAAAGTTGCGCCTTTATTCTGACAAATGAGTATTTATACAGCAAATTTATAGGCAGCATTTGTCAGCTTTATTATGTAAATAATATTTTTTATTTAAACAGGTCTATTCTGTGTATGTTGGCAATATAATTACAGATCCTACCTCATATTATATCTTAATACAAAACATAACAAGAAGTTCAGAGTTTTAATTGCATCATCAGATACATTGTGGTCATGTGTGAAAGGGACCTTATAACTAATAAGGTGGCATTCAGACGCCTAGTTCTTTTTTTCCCTTTTCATTTACTGCACACTATATTGATTACTTTTGATTGCCTGACTGCACCATGCATCAGTCTTTCATCCTCTTTGAGGCAGCAAAAAGTACTAAATGTTTAAAAGCAATAATGGTTTTCAATACCTGGAATACTGCTGTGGTCATTTGGAGTATTTTAACCTTTTTTTTGCCAGGAAATGTGTGCTCCTACTGTCACCACTGATTTTAAAATAAGCTTTTTAGCCAAGACCGCAGTCTCTTGACTCTGGGTCTAAATCTTGCCCACTGATGACCTATCAAAGATCCCACGTCTTTGATACTGTCACTTTCCTCCATTTCCTCTTTCCCTAAAACCCCCATCTTGCTCATTAATTTATCAAACTTGCTAATCTAAGTAAAAGAGTTAAATTTTTCTGGCGTTCAAAAATTCATTTTGGTGTTTGCATTTTGTGAGACCACGGGTTCGTCCTCAAGACTACACCTTTGTTTATCGAAGGCTTGCAAGCGTAGCAGTAAAGTAATATTAGCACATTTGGTACGGATATGGGCATTGAAAAATTCCTGAATAAAAATCCAAGCTGTGCTTGTGGCTAAATCTCCATACAGAAGGATTACAGCTAGGTAATTAGCCTGACGTACATGTAACGTCATATAAACCACCAGGAACAGCAAATTTTGCTGACTTGCATCTCATATGGTGTGGCTCAAAACAAAAAATTACATTTTCGTGACGTATCAGGAACATCATAAGACAACGAAGGGGTTAAACTGTAAATCACAGTCTTCTTGTGCATCATGTAACCTAGTTCAGATCATTTTATTGTTTTATAATTTGAGAGTGAAAGCCTTTCAAAATATGGCATTTTATTATTGATTGCTTCATGTTAGACTTCAGTGAATGGCTTTATGACGATTTTTAACAATGTTTTTTACAGCTTTACGTGCGCCCTCTGTGGTAATATTTGATACCGATTCACTATTTATGACGGGAAGTAATCCAACGAAGTCATTGCAATGAGGTAAATGAGGTACAAATTTGAAAATATTATATGTCAGTGTGTGTGTGTGCGCATGTGCTCAATCAACCTCACATTTCATCCAACAAGTTTGTCAAGCCAGCCTTTCAGTTTTGCTTCACCTGAATTGTCAGTGGTAGCAGAGCTTGACTGACATTTGTAGCACCCCCAGGGCAGTGCTAGTGACTGAAGTGTCTTTAGGCCATTCCCAAAAGGGGGGACATTAACATCTCGAGTTCTTATGCACAGTAGAATTGTAATTGTAAATGGGCTGATTCATCAATGTCATGCTCATAACTGTGCCTTAACTGCAACAGGGAACTGCTGCTTTTTCTTTCCTAATCCTTACTATTGTCATTTTTTCCTCTACTTCTATTGTATGTTTGTCACACTCTTGTGACCTGCTATTTCCAGGGTGCCTTTGATCGTCGAAGCAGACTTTGTGCTGTTGAAGCTAGAGAGGTGAGCAGAGTAAGTCTGATTCCCTGTAAGGACTTCTCTGTTGACATACACCCCTTGGCGCTCATATGACCTTATGCTGTTGCGAGCGCCGTAAAACCTCTACTAAACTGACATTCGTATTTCATATTAATCCTCTGGGACTCTTCATCTAAATGCATCAGGCCACAGTGTCATGTTTTCGAAAAATAGCAGGGTTTTATTTTTGATGCCTCCATTGGATTGCCCTAATCAACTGGATCTCTTGGTTTCCAATGAGAAAAATCTTCTTTACCTTGATGTTATCGCAATTGTATAGAACTAGACTCCACTATGACTCACTTTGAGAACTAAACTTTTGGTATAGAATCTAGTAGTCTCTTCTATGACAGCATGCCCGTCTTAACACTTACTGTACCCAAGGCTCATATAGTGAAAAACCCTCAAGTACCGCACCAGTTTAGAATGCTTAAAGCCGTGGTAGAATTTTTTAAATAAAAAGAAACCTTGGCAGCCCACGAAACACGCTTTAAAAATTCATAAAGGCTCATCAACCTTTCAGCTGTCATCATATAGAGTGATTTCCTTTGATTTTGATATATATTTAGTAATTTACTTCAGTGCAGTACGTTCGCTGGTTGTTTGATTATGATTTAGTGTGCCTAGTCGCATCGGCGACTAAAGTGGCGAGTGGTAGAGAGCACCAGATATTGTGCATGTATGTGGATCAAATGTGGGACAGAAAATTTCTCAAAATTATGAGCCATTTATGTTTCATTGGTCATATTCTATGCTCGAATAATTGCTTTGCGAATAAGTCAACTCTTGAACTAGAGTAGTCTTTGTTACTGGAGAGAAATGCTCAAAAACTCGTCACTTACAGTACAGCTACTTATAGTGCGAACTACCTTGTGTAGTTGTTTCTCACTGCTCATTGAAGAACTTTTTCTCTCTCTATAAATAAATATAATAATAATAAGTGTATTGTTTAATGTCCTATTAATTAATTTTTTTAAAAATGGGAATTCTTTAATTTCTCCTCTGTTAAGTTTGAGATGTCGTTAAATCTGGTATAGGTGGATGTGAGGTTCATTGTAGTACAATGTATGTTTGCCTGTGGACCAGCAGTGAGACAGAGAGTTTTGACATGGTTTTGTAATAAGTCCTTATTTAGGATGATGGAGATTGTGTTGTGCTGGGATTTGTGTTTTTGTGGGGGGTGTTTTATTGTCCTTTACAATTTTTTAAAAATGGTTTAATATGTCAAAAACCACTCAAACGCAATGGTGATTCTGTCAGTGTCAAAAATATTAGCGATTGGATATAAAATATGCATTGTAAGACAGGGAAGCCGCGTGATTTCCCCTGCTGTTCAGTACCTCACTGCAGGATTTAGAACCTGGTAAAAAATATATGGTAGCCAATGAATTGGCAAGTAATTAGATGTTTTTTTACTATGTCTGATCTACCTTGTCTTTGTAAATTAGTCATTTTATAATTTATTCAGCAATGGGCCAGTCCTTCCTTGAGACATGATGATTATATATATGCGTGTGTGTGTGTGTGTGCGTGCGTGCGTGCGTGCGTGCGTGCGTGCGTGTGTGTGCCTGCCTGCATGCATGCGTGTGTGTGTGCGTGTGTGTGGTTCAATCAGGTGTAATGCTTTATATTTTTTGCTAACTTGTTTGAACCCCTTATTAACATTTGTGGGTGGTTGGCGGGTGCTCTGGTGTGGTTTGCTCCTTCTTTCCTATCAAACATCTGTCGTTATTATCTCCCCTCCTTCTTTTTTGTGTATGTTACTCTCCTGTTACACATCTATTCTTCGGCACTTATATGACCTTATTGTGTTGCAAGTGCCGTAAATCTCTTACTAAAACTAAATCTTACTACATTGTAACATTTTATACTTGTTCTGTGTGTGTTCTTGTTTACTTTTCTTGAACCATTACATTCTGTCTTTTTGAAAGAAGTAAAACTTTAAAATCATTTATAAAGATATAACAGAAGTGAACATGGTGTAGATCTATGTTTGATCATTCTTCTTTTTTTTTTTTTTAACAGAAATTAGAGAATAGTGGACTGTTTGTAAGTTTTTATTATATAAAGCTCTGTGAGTGGGCTACAGATTGCATGCTTTGAACTTTGAGCGGTAAAATTAATTTCTAGGGAGCACCACTATCGAGTCAACTGAAGATGTAGATTTTTTTGGGGGGTTGTTTAATTGTCCATAGCTTAGTTCAGACAATCTTATCAAATTAAATGAGAACATACAAATTTTTTGGGTCTGTCTGTTGGTCTGTTTCTCCTACTTTCCTTCTACCTCTGAAGGGGTAAATCGTCCTAGCTCATCCACAATGTTGTGTGTTTTGTGTTTTTTGCTACCATTTGTCAGTATTTGAGTTTCATGATTTCTGTTGCCGCCTGTGATACATGTACTGTGCTCTCAATGTTCTGCTGTAAGTTGCTCAGCTTAATTAAATGTGAAGATATGGTGAACACGCACCAGTAGGTAGAAGGTGGTCTGTGAATCTGTGCCTGTTTTCCTAGTGCCATACCAAGACCATTAAAAATGTTATCTCATACTTTGCTACCTTTTTGAAGCTTGTGTTTATCCAATGTCATCGCTGCAAGGAATCTAAAATAGCACAAATGTCTCTTATTTTAAAGTTAGAACCGGTACTCAGTTCAGAATCAGAGAATAAAGAGATACACTCTCTCTGTATTGGTTTGTTATTATTTATGGAAAATATCTTCCCAACAAATCAACTTAATATTATTAACAATGCAAGTGATTTTGGTTGCCTCTCTGCTGGGTTTTTGATGCATGTGATTTTTTTTCATCTAGCCTACTTGTCTTTGTTCTTTTGCCTGTTCTTTTTTTTATGCTGTTGATAAGGTCGGTTTCTTGACCCCATAATCATTTTATAATATATTTGTATGTGCATTGTTTTTCTTTTGGAAGCAAGTACACAGATTTACCCAATTTGAGTACTTATTATTTCTGCACAGATCTGGATGTATGTTGAAAAATATGATTGTTTAGTAAATTTTATGTTTATCGGCGCAGTGGCAAACTACATGCATTTCTCAGATGACAATAAAGAACCTTTATATTGCATTTTCTTTTATTGTTGCTGTTATTATTTGTGTACATTTTAGGGGGGGGGGGTTCTTGACGTGGGATGGGTCAGTGAGGAGATTGACAGTACTAAAGAACTTTCCAGCAAATATTTTCCTGTTTTATTTGAAACTAGTAGCAAAGCTCTTCATTTTTATAATTATAATGCAAAAGTGAAAAGTCTACACGAAGTTCAGGATCGGCAACTCGGAGCAGTGTCTGTACGGAACTGGCGACCAAGTAAAGATCAAAACAAAACAAACCCAGAAACGAAAGAATAAAAACCCCCTTTTGCTACAAGCCTACCGGTACTCAGTGCTTGAGGCACGGAATTTAAGGAAATCCCAACCCTTTGCTCAGTAGACAGATTACCCAAAACTGTACGGGAGCCTGGAGGACCTGCGGCGAACCAGAGAGTTTACAGTAATACTACTGTAAACCCCCTCTGGGCGAACCCTCGCAAAACTGGGATGGTAGAGATGAACGAGAAGATATCAAACTATGTAGCAGTCCTACATAATCCTTAAATTTTGTAAAACGAGGAAAGAAAGGATATTGAGCTCGTTAATAAACATGTTTTTCAAAAGACATTATCATCACAAAGTGCCAGATCTGCGACAGACATCGGCGACCATGATGGTCCTCCACTTATTCCTTTGCTCGGATGGTCTAAAAAAAAAAAAGCTACATTATCCCGATCTTTCCCCGTCACCTATATATATCTGTTTGGGCTCTCCAAGTATTATGTTGCCTCTCTCTCTCTCTCTCTCTCTCTCTCTCTCTCTCTCTCTCTCTCTCTCTCTCTCTCTCTCTCTCTCTCTCTCTCTCTCTCTCTCTCAGCGCGCTCATATGACCTTAGCAGTTGCGAGCGCCGTAAAACCCTATACTATATATACATACATTCTCTCTCTCTCTCTCTCTCTCTCTCTCTCTCTCTCTCTCTCTCTCTCTCTCTCTCTCTCTCTCTCTCTCTCTCTCTCTCCTATGTGTCTCAGAACGTGGCCAAACTGGTGCAGTTTACTAATCTCTACAACTAAACGAGTGTAATTTAAGCAGTTTTTTATTCACGGGATTATGCAGTCATTTCTCTCGCTCTATTTTTTAAAAACTCTTCTTAGCATTCATGCTTGCATTTCCCACCGACTTTCACGATTACTACAACAACAAAAATTCAGCTCATTTAAACTTTAGAAAACGACTCATGCTCTGGGCTTTTTAGGTAACGGAATGACAACCAGAAGTTAGAAATTAATCATAGTATTACATGAACTACATGTTTCGGTTCCTCAACAAATGCAAGAATTTGGGGAAGACAGTTTAAAGGGAGTATAACATGGAGGCGTATCGTAAAATTTAACACAATAGTTGCTCTTAACTTTAAAAAGCCAGGCCAGATTCATGAATAAAACTTTTGATTTATCAGGATAAAGTTATACAAACTTGCAGTTTACGTTCGAGCGCCGCAGTTCCTTAGTCTAAAACTGAAAGTGACCCTCTCACTCTCACGTTTTTCTGCCATTAGGATTATTAGGTCTGTAAAAAGTCAAAGGACTTTAGGAAAACCTATACTTATAAATTCGATTGCAATCTCTATTTTGATGTGTCGTAACGCACATATTTAACAATTTAAAAAAATTTTTAAGGCATTTTTTTTCTCTTTAAACTTGTTACCGTGTGTGTATTGTCTTTACAACTGCGAGAGAAGTCGGCATTGTTCGACTTACAGGAAGAGAAAGGTTTAGAGGTGACGTAAAGCTGGGATAATCCAGTTCCTTCATTATAACGAAGAAAGGAACACCAAAGCTGATCAAGCCTAAACAGATAGATTAGAGAAAGAGACAAGCTTTTAAAACAGTTATTTAAAAAACTCAAGTGTAGAGCGCTAATTATAATTTAGCCCCAAAACGCCTTCGTGTAACGGAATAACTGCGAATAATTGCTTTCAAAGTTTCTGTTGTTGTTTTCTGTCTAGTTGTTCTATTGACTCGGCCTGAGAAAAGCCTAGGCTGCTGCTAATTAGGCTTGTGTTGTAATTTCATTTTTTTAAATTCCCGTTTTCTTCAAAAGCAGGGGGCTCTCGTGGTCTAGAGAGGTTACAGTGTTCGCCTTTCATTCAATAGGTCCCAGGTTCGAAACCTGACAGCGACGGAAAATTTTCTTCTTTCACATTTCCTGCTCTCTAACCATATTCTGTCGTCGGCTTTCGTCTCCATTGCACTAATTTCTACCCCCACCTCCACACCCTTTACCCCTTCTTCTGGGCTCCTGACCCTTTCTGCAGCCTTAAAATATTTACGGTTACTCTTTGGACCTAGCCCTCTCGGGGGCGAAACCTCGGAGGTCCCGTAGTGTAATGCGCACGAAAGATCCTTTGGTGATCCAAAACACGACAGAGTGAGTAGGAGCTTCGGCCGCCATCCGGGGCAAAATTAAAATTTAATTGATTTACCAAACTGAAAATATCTAAAGTGTCTCGCGCGCTCATATAACCTTAAACAGTTGCGTGCGCCGTAAAACACCACAACCCCCCCCCCCCCCCCCCCAACAAATTAAAGCAACTTCATGTCCTTAAAAATAAATTCTAAAATTTAAAAAAATTTAAGGCAGGTAGGAAGAGGAATACAGCCCACATAACATCTAACTTAATGAAATAAAAATTCAAACCCGTAAAATCACCGGTCTAAGACATTTAAAATAATCAAATTTGATAAGCCATTGTATTGGACAAGAGTTTGAACCTTTGACTTTCAGGCAAACGTTAGAAATTAGAGACAAAAATGTTGAAATTACCAATGTATTTATTTTGTTGTAGGCCTGAGTACATTTTGATAAATTTTAATGCTAAAATAAGCTTACCCAAACTTATATTTTATCTCGGAAAAGGAAAAATAAAAATGATCTTGCTTTTCAGGCAAATGTTTATATTGTACCGATAACAGGTGTATAAAACTAAAACTGGGTAAAAGGCTCCTTGGTAAAAGGCTGTCTGTGAATAAGGAAGCTATAGGGTTAAAAGTTCCATGCTTCGCGGAGCGTTTCTATTTCGGGAGGTGACCTACTGAAAGTCCCTCTATTCTTTCCTGAATCTACTTCGCTTCTACCAAACCAAATTGAAATTCTCAGGTTGAAATACTGTGCAAGAAATGCTCAAACGCTCAAAATCTTTGCACAAATTACACACGACGAAAATGCAACGAAACTGAGTCGGGTGGTTGGACAGTTCACCGTGGTAACAGGCTACTGTGTGTGTTACAGGCTGATTCAATTAGGCGGTGGTGAAGGCCGACGGCACAGAGCACGGGGCCTGCACGTGCCGGGTTTTAGATGTGTCGAATAAACTACATCACTGTTCATGGGTAGAGTTTCAAGTTCTAGGGTATTTATTGAGTCGGATTCGTATACAACACTCAAACGATTAAATTATGTTTATCAAACCGGAACGACATTGAGAAGTAACAAATTTCGAGCCAGTTAACGAGGGTCGAATCACATGCAAAGTCCCGAGTACTCCCGAAGTCGTGTGAACTTTTCCATTCAAAGTGAAACTATACTTCTATTATTTCCCGACGACTATTTTCAGTTGAAAGAATAAAACAATCGTCACATAGTCTATATAAAATTAATCAAGAAACAACCTTTCAAAAAGATCTAGACTAGACCTAGGCTAGCCAACGCGACAGAGCACCGGTGTCGGCGAACGAGGGGCTTCGCGAACGGACCCAGCCGGTACGAACCAGCACATCTGCAACCAACTGCCAGCCTCGATATCACACAGGCCTTGAGCAAGTTGCCTAAAATATTGTATTCTGAGCCCAGCGATTGGTCGGATGTTACATTGACCCAAAAATAAATGCCGTGACGTCTTGCTGGGTATATAAGCTGACGGGAATACCCAAGTGGCCCGTTGTTGCCGTAGCCCTCAGTACGTGAGGTGTGTCGTTCTAGCCGGGAGCCGAGAACCACTGGCGAGACAGTAGACTGTCGCCGAGACTGTGGTTTAAATGTTGAACTGATTTGTATTATTCAGGAGAATATATTTAGTGAGACACATACTTCTGCCTTCACCAGGATTAGGTACTACGTGTTTTCACTTATATTTGACTGTTTGACATCAGTGACTGAGCTCGATCCCGGTAAGTCGACGAACGAGTGTGTAACGGTTTTGAACAGTGACCCGAGCAGGCAGAGTGAGAGAGCGAGGCAACCACCAAGGCTCAGACAACCATTGAACCTTTAGAAATACCATCATAGGTCACTTTTTTTTCACCTTACACCATGGATGAGCTCGCTGAAAGTTACATCGAAAGTTTTGACCTTTTCATGGACGGCCACGACTTGCACCAGTTACACAGTTCGATGGTGAAGTCGGAATTAGGCCTGTGCACAAGCCCTACCGGCACTGCAGCGGTGGCGGCTGCGGCGAGCCCTCAGACGCAGCCACAGCAAACCTGCTCCGGAGCTGGGGTCACGGCTCAGGTCACCGGCCAGCTGCAAATGCCCCAAAGCCCAATCCTGTCAGCTGTGGCTACCAGCAACATGGGTTACAACAGTGGCAATAGCACTCCCGCCAACTCGATCCCTCCTTCTCCAACAACTCCTCTACCAGCTTCTCAAACATCTTTGCCCTCGCCCACTCGCTCATTATCAAGTTTTGGCAGCACCTTCGGTGATAGAGGTTATTTTGAGGACTGGTTTTTGAAATTAGGATCCCAGTGCTCCTCAGAAGATGGCAGCTCAACAAATAAACTCGATGTCAAGACGAGTTCACTTGATGAACTATTGCGATCTTTGGAGCCTAGTAATGTGCATCACCATAATCCAGTATCTCCATCTGTAAAATCGGAAGTTCCTGATGTGTCTTGCAGGGGTAACAATGAATTTGACGTTGACTATGATGACGATAATGAACTTGATGTTGAGGACGATAAGAACAGTGTTGCTAGCAGTTCTTTCTGTACGCTTAACCGACAGGGTGGAAGAAAAGGTGGTGTACTTTCACCGGTTTCAGGTATGTCTCCAGAAAGTTCAGTTATCGATGATGAGGATCTCGTGACACTGCCAGTCCGTGAGTTGAACAGGCGTCTTCAGGGATGCCCCAAGAGTGAAGTTCAGCGTCTCAAACAGAAAAGACGCACTCTGAAAAATCGTGGATATGCTCAAAATTGTCGTTCAAAGCGAATGCTACAAAAGAGTGAGTTAGAAACAACAAACAAGGCACTGTTGCACAAGATAGCGGATTTGAAGCGTCAGTTGAGCGCTTCTGTTCGGGAAAGAGATTTTTACAGACAACGCTGCCATCTGCTCAAAACGGAACTTGTGCGAGCGTCACATACAGGGACAACGGGGTTTGAAGAATTTTTATGTGCAGTTAAAACTGAGAAGGATTATAATATTTTTAATGACTTAAAGAAGAGTCCTCCAAGCGAGTCTCCCAAGTCCAGGGCAGCACAAAATAGCAATGAAAATAATTTTCTAATGTAACTCATTTTATCTCTTTTGGACTCTTTCAAAGATTTTGTGTTTCGTTTTCCTTTACTTTAGTTTGCTTTTTTTTGTGAGCACTTTTACAGTGGTAAAGTTAGAGAAAAAAAGCAATGGCAATCTTGAGTTCTAGGTTTTAACTTAAATGTTCTTTTATTATTTGCATGAGTTGGTCTTTTTTTTGTGGTGAGAAAGTTACTTGAAAGTAATTGTTTGTTTGTTGATTATTTTTTTTAGGGTGGGGGTGGTAGGAGGGTTATGGACCCTTTGTTGGGGGGACGAGGTTGGTTGTTCTTTTTTTCTTTTTTTTTTTGGGGGGGGGGGGTGTCTTTTGGAAAATTGTTTCTTTCCTTCTTTTGTGAGTATTTTGTTCCTTGTCTCTGGAACCTGTCAATATTTTTGCTTTCCTCAATGTGGTGGTATAGCCTAGAATCTGTGTAGAGTAGGCTAACTTGCTACTTGTTATTTCAAGTAAGAGACTACAAAAGTCAATGCTCTGTGATAGAAAAAAAACATCTCTCTACACATTTTATTATTTTTAGTATCCTTCAAGATCTTTTGATTTTTACCTGCGATTCAAGCTAGCAGGCCTACTGATATTTACGTTTATAGGTGTAGATTTTCTAGGCCTTTTTATTTAGTTTACCTAAAATGAAAAGCAGAAATCTTAAATTCTTCCTTTTCTATTTTTTTCAAGTACTTTTGGATAACTGTACGTGCATGTTCATGTTGCAAAATCCTGTCACGTAAAAGGGTTATTATACTTTTCTCAAGCAGCATCATCTTGTCCAGTTCATGTGTGTTTGTCACTGTATTTTGTTCGATACTTGTATCATTTCCTTTGCATTTATTTTATAATTCTCTCAGAGTCAGAGGCAGCAAACAAATCTTTTTCTGCTTTCACTTCTTGTGTCACGGCGACTGACAATGGCTTATGATTATTCCTTGCCCTGTGTGACCTGCCAAGAGAAGCTATTACGGTTGCACAATGTCTTTGTTTTCTGTTTAGTTAAAACATCTGGAGGACTGTGGTAGTTGAGCCGCCTCTTGTACCACTCTACTATTTTGGGACAGAGAGTGGAGTTTGTGTGTATTCCACTGCATAACAGTACGCAATATTATGCTCGCATATGATGGAAGAATTTTAGATTTCATGCAAGCTATCATGACTTTTTTGTACACCACATGTTTTGGTTTTGGTTTTGTTTTGATTTTCAACATTTCAGTCTGTTGCACTTAAGAAACACACCTTATTACTATCAAGTCTTTCGTCGAGTAGTATCCCATTAAATTGTATTACTTGTAAATATATAGTGAAAATGTTCTTTTCTTTGTCTATCCCATTGTGATACGCATTGTTGGAGACAACTGTTTGGACTGATTCACTGGATTCTACACTTTGCTTTCAGATTTATCAGGGTTTTACACATGGTTCCTGTTCTGAACTAGATGAAGATGGTACCATACGATACCAATATGTTTGTTTGTGTGTGTGCTCAGCCACTGTTACTGTTTGCATCATGAATACTCTGTGATAGTTTCATTGCTGACGAAAGAGAATCTGATCTTGAGTGTTGAAACATGTGCGATTACTTTTCTCTGGTGAAATAATCCCGATTACCTCAACTGATGGCTGAGAAGCTTGACAGTTCTAAACATTTTTCATGTCACTTAAAGTCTTTGACTTTCAAAGAAGATTAGTATATTTTTAAAATCCAGTTTCTCCAATACTTTTTTCCTAAAAGGAGTGGTGTGATGAGGAGGAGGTGGGAGTGTTGTATTATTCTGTTGCAGTGTTCGAAACATATTTTCAAACCAAATATGTTCAAATTTTATCAACTGAATTTGGAACATGTGATATATTATGTAAGAAGAATTTTTATGTGTTGTTAAAACTTCAGCAAACCTGAACAAACTTGACAAAACTGACCAGTTTCAGCCTGTATTATAGGATTAGAATTTTAGAGCTGATGCTTTACTGGTTTGAGATTGATTTGTGTACAGTTTTACTGTCATGTTTTTATGGTACCGTATGTATACACCAGTATCATATTTAATGTAAGAAAGAAAAGTGTACACAGTGTGTGTTTGTGTTCCACTATATCAGTGTTGTGTTTGGCAGCTAACTTTACTGTAAATAGCTGGCTGCCTTCGGATTTATAATTCACAAACCTTTGTTCTTTTAAATCATGAAATGTGGTTAAAGTTCCTGATGCACCTGGCCGTAAATGAGTCAATGATTGGCAACTGCAGAAACTGCCTTGGTTTTTTCCCCCCCGTTTTTATTTTTTTTTCAAGTTATCTTCATCAATTTTATTTGAAGTATGTTCCTGAAGCCTTTTTACTAATACTTTTGTAAGTGCTGAAATCAACACCTTGCTGGTACTGGTATCATATGTGTGAGGCAGCGTGGTGACATCAGGCTCTCGTCAAAATTATAATCAAAACGAATAAACTTTAATTTTCCCGCAGGTTTGTGGATTTTTATCAAATTTTTGTTTTTTGGCTCTAACACCTTTCATGCCCAGTAAAGAACTAATTTCTGGGTGGATTTTACTGAAAAATGTTGATTAAAGGAACAAAAACTGAAAATTTTAAGTTTCCATGGACTCTCAAGCTAAGTAAATAACTCATCTTTGGCTGCCATTTTCTCACAAATTTTACCTCTGAAATCAGGCAACCCCCACCTCCTTCAATTGCAAATATCTTGTCTTCCATTCGAGAAAGATGGGTAATTTTTTAATCACAACCAAGACAAATGAACAAGCTTTATAATGGTACCAATAACTCAATGTACTCAAAAATTGACGAGCGCCTGATTCTACCATGTCATAACACATACATGAGTTTTCCAAGCAAACCTTTGAAAAGAAGCTGTGGTGCAAAGTGAACGTGTTGGAGTTTTCATGTTGAAAATAGATCTCGACTTATGTTGCATATTGTACTGTACACTGTACTGTAACTGTCATTACCATGAAATTTTTTGTTTTGTTTCTGTGGTTTTGTCAACACTGTCATAAATGATAAAGCTAGTTTTGTTCTTACACAGTCTTTATTTTTGTTCCCCAGGAATTGCAGATAGATGGGGGGTTTTCTTCTTTTTGTGTGTAGGTTTATAAAATAGAAATGAAAAGAGGTTATTATCAGTCTGTCTGATTAAATTGATGGTATTTCCTGCTGTTTATTTTATCCTTTTTTAATGAGCTAAACAAGAGCACGTCATTGATATAGTGAGCTTTTGTTAGTGAATTGTTAAAGTAGAAAAGTTTATCTATACGGCGCGCACATGTATCCATAGACTGGACAATATGCTGTGTGTGGAGAATTTTTGCTTTTTGTTTTCCTATAAAACAGCTGAGCTATCTTAGCCATAGCAAAAAATTACAATGCCTTTGAGTTGATTGTAGCTCTGTGGGCTATAAGCTCCCTTGTTTTTAAAGTGAAAGTCTGTGTGATACATTTTATGAAGAATTTTTCTTGTTTTGTTTCTCGGGTAAAGACTTTCCCCCATGTTTTACGAAAACTAACAAATTTATTGTTATTTTGTGTTTCTATAATTTCTAGTATCACATTAATTTTTCTTTACACTGCAGACTGTATTGTAACTATTTTTTCAAAAGGCATGTCATCCCACTGTAGGTTCAGATTTTTTGTTCTCTGTAAACGTTTGACAGCTTTTCATGTTCAATTTGTTTTCATTAAATCCAAAACTATGACTATTATGGTGTACATTGTGCATGTCATTGTGATAATTATGTTCTCTGTGCCTTTGTGTCGTAACTGTACGCACGTAAATCAGGCAACAGTTAATGTAGAAAAAAAAAATTGGAATGAATGTACAGTTTGTATTATATATATTTACAGAAAGACATTGTGTATCACATATATTATAATGAATCATTTATCTCTTGTCAGCATTTTCGAATATATAAGCTTTTTCACTTTGAAAGCAAGATGTTTCATTGTCACAAAAAAAGTTTAAAAGGTATATTTGAAAAACTCAAAAAAATATGTTTCCTTGAGTTATTTCATGCCATCCTATACTAGGGCATGAATGTTCAATTATATCTTTTTATCCATCCTTCATGTTGCTTTTATTTTCTCAAAATAAATAATCTGATGAATTAACATTTGAATGGTCTTGACAAATTATAACAGTCTTGTGTGTTTGGTTGCAGTTGTCCAACATGCTTGTTGTTCCATGGCATTGAATTGGAACTTCTCCTGTCTCTTCTGTCTCAGTTACTTCAGGGGTCACTTTCACTTTGTTAAAATGTCACGTTTGTGATACAAAATCTGAAGAAATGGAATTGATTCAAGGCGAATTCACTTGGCTTTAATCTGATTTTTAATACATTCAACATCTTCATCAGCATGTCTTAGGTTCTAAAGGGTCACTGAAAAATTCAAAGGTCCTACCTACAAAATTTAGAAAAACAATTTGAAATCTAGAGATACCATTTGCATTATAATTAACTTATAATGTAATCCGTATCTGGTTACTGAATTTCTTTTGTCTTTTGTGTCTTGGAGCGAGCCAGAATGAGCAGCTTCTCATAATTGTCCTTGTGAACAGAATATTTTTTTCAGAAATGTTTACTGCTCTCATCAGCAATGTTGGAAAAGTTATATAGGCCCACTATTGTTGAAATTGGATGTTGCTGACTATTGATTTGGAATTTTTTTCCTCTGCTTCTTCGATGAGATGACTCTGATAAAATGCTGCCCAAGGAGTTAATTATCTGTGTTTGAAATCAGAATAAAAACCTTCTTCTCGGCTGAGAAAACTGCGACACCTCTAATTACTTGTTTGGTTGGATCCATAGTTTATGTAATGTGTGTGTGTGTGTTTCTGTTATCTCAGTGCCTGTATCGAGTTTTCTGACCAAAGTTTCCAAAGTATTTTTCCGATTGCCTCTGCATATTAGGTTTTTTTAGCATTATGAATCCCAGACAGGAATTGTTTTGAGAAACTCCTAAATTGTAAGTTTGATGCATTGGCCTCAGGATCAACCTTGCACCATTCTAACTATCTAGACTAGTCCAATATCATTTTGTTTTTAGGAAATAGATCTAGTGAGCAGAATCACTATGATAGCAAAATTTAAAATCACCATCTGATCTACCGTTCATGTGGGCATCATTTTTGCACAGAGGCTTTGACAGTGAGTGGATGTCGTCATGTGGAGAGTAAATTTTATACAATGTATACTCGATGAACACCAGGGCCAGATAGA